CTTTTAGAAACTCGTCGCCTATTTGTGTTGTTGACAGGAGGGAACGACAAATACGAACTCTACATGAAAAAATCTAATACATGTAGATTCAACAGACCACAAAACAGAAAGAAGCTCATCCATGTTCCAGTCATTTCGTCACTTGTGTAAGAAAACAAATGACATGTTGCATTTGGTTATTTGAAGAGAAGGGGACAAGCTGCCAAAACAAAATGAGCCACTTAGATAATCCATTTCTTTAAATACATGTACATGTACAAACATAATCGGGCGTATGTTGAATGTCCCACGGCACGATCCCGAATAGTTGTCCAGAAACACCATTTCCTCGCATTAAAAGCCATTTCACGCATATTGCCTTTAGGTTCATTTGCTTTTTGGATCTGACTCAATCCTTGATGGCAAGATTAACACCTTAAACCCATGCATTATCATTACTACAGTATGGTTATCCAATAAAAATGTCCCCCAGACAATCAAAGATGACTTAATTGGTGAGGAGGGCGGGGTGAAAACAATTTCACCTGAAAAAAATTAGGCCTGATCGATGCGATTACAAGATATCCTGACTTGTTCGCCTTAATTCTGAAAAAATCAATAAAAGAAAGCGCATGTTCCAAATGACTAGTACCAGTAGTGCTGATGGCGGGATGACGTGTAAGGTCTTTTATAAGTGCCTCGGTGAAAACAAGACAATTAAAATGCTTTTACAGCACGGCTAATGGCGGTACATCCATCAATCGGTGCTCACCTCCACTGAGTTAGAACAACCGAGTGCATGACCCGAAGCAAGATAGAGAACAGAGAAAGTGTGTGTGTGTGTGTGTGTGTGAGAGAGAGAGAGAGAGAGAGAGAGAAAGAGAGAGAGGCCAATCAGCCATTTAAAACCTGAGACGCCAAGAAAACAACTGCCAGTGGTATATTGTATGCTGTCTGTATGCAGCAAAAGAAGCTGTAAGGCTATACTACGTGTTTATCGAGGATTTAGTTTACATTTTAGAGTTGTCGGGCGGGTGGCCGGATGGGTTTTGTCGGTTAATGGAGGAAAGTGTTAAAGTGTTAAAGGTGTGTGTGTGTGTGTGTGTGTGTGCGTGTGTGTGTGTAATCATACTCCAATGCTGCAATGTTATTTTGGAACATCTTAATTATTCAGCTACTGTACTAAGTACTGAATTAAATATACATAAAGAAAGATGCAAAGATGAATAAGATAACAGATAATAACTTCACGAGGGTTTACAGTTGCGTTCGATGTATTTTCTATGGCACTTATGAGGAAGAGGGCCCAAAGTTACATGATCAAAGAAATTAATCAGCACGGTTTATTGATTTGCCCTCACATGTTGTTGTAGCGTTAATTAATTAATGGGCAAATAAAAGTTAAATGCATAATAGCCGAATAAAAAAATAGATACCACAAATGAAATCAATAGACGAATAAACGAAAAACAATCGAATGACAGAATACTTTTGTAACGGCAACAAATGTCATACCTATCGGGTAACCCCATGCTTAGAAAAATGCTGTTGAAAACAACAACTAGGATCACGTCTATTGGTATATTTCCCGGTAGTAGCGGAAACCCCATAACTACGGAAACGCAATTATAAGGCCTCGTCCCTGCGGTTATAAATAATCGAAGCATTGAGATGCTTCGTCTGAAATTTATAACTGATTGACCACAGGCACATGCTTATCTGGCTGCGCTCGTCTGTTGTAAAATTATGTGCCAGAACGGTAGGCGACGGACATCCGGGTTCTTTTGTTTCAAAAACTAAATTCCAAACAAATTTCAAAACGAAATTCTTAATTCCTTTTTTGATGCCTGTTCAGATTAACATTTTTCATCTTCAGTGTTTTGTTTTCCTTTTTTTTTCGAAATGGAGAAAGAGAGAATGACGGAATCGCTTGATGTACTGTGTACAGTGCAGCTAAAAGACAACGGCAGTGCAAGAAGGAAGTTAAGTGAGATTTCGACTATACAAAACGAATTCGAACATACAACACTTCCTTGATATATAAAAAGCCTTGATAAACTGATCACTAATGGATTTATTCGTGGTCTGACCGCAACAGCACGTGCCACTGAACCCCATAACCAGGAAGATGTGGTTAGAAGCAGATTAAATGTTCTTGATACGCATGCCCGACTGCTGTAGTTGTTTGATTGCGAGATAACCAAGGGCAAAAGGCAACGCAGCAAAGCATACTCCACTAGATTAATATCATTCCGATTCCCCATAGCGAAGCTGTATCGTTCATTATGCTCCTAATGACAAAATAACATTCTAACGCAAATGAAACGTGCCTTTATTACGTATAGGCCTATAATATTGCGCAACTTTGTACGTCATGTTCAATAGCAGATAGAAACGTTTTGAGAAATCCCTTTGATGTCCGTTTTCATGGTTAAATCGACTTAGGTGTGATGAAAAGCGCTGGTTTAAGAACATTGCGTATCTTTTTTTTTTTTTAATTGAGCACTCTTTGACCGGGAAGTAACCAGCCAGGTGGTCTAACTAAATCCATGTTATCGTCGTGTTATCGCACACTCCCATGCTGGAATATCGAAAACAAATAGGCCTGTAAACAATAAATACAGGAAAGGCTGATAATATCCCTAATCAGATACACTACAGGTGCGAGACGTGTATAGGTGTAGATTATTACTAATAACGTTCTCGTCTAGAGTGATGATACGGCAAACTAAGTAAATACAGTAATATAATGGATTTGACCATTACCTCAAAATTGTGATCTAGATTTTATTTCTATTATTATCATTATTATTATGCTTCAATCAAATGAAATCAAAGGGAATTCTCATCAAACAAACATGTACCATGATTTTGACTTCGTTTTGTAATGTTGATGAATACCTGCTCCATGTAAAACATTTAGCACGACTGATGACCTTTAACAAATATGACAGTGAAAGTAGTAGGATTGTGTTAAACATGTAACATATAAGAACTCTCTTACGGCATAGGTTTTTAAGATAGCTTTGTTAAGCTATAGGGGTAGTCATGTCAAACACGCTCTCCGTTAAAATTGCCACGCCTTAGAAAAGGTCAAATGATTTTTTACAAAAGTGATTATTTTCTGATCAAAGGATAGGTGAAAGAGTTTCAAATGCTATGGTGTCTTTGCGATTATGTGACTTCGTAGAGATCAACACGTTTTTTTTTATATTGCTCTTTGAAATAAACACGCAAGAATAATGGCTCCTACGAAGTAGTTCTTCTGGGCAAGTCATTAATCCACAAATATAGCTCTGTCATGTTTCCTTCAAGAACAAATACACGGTTGATTAGGGGTAATTTACGAAAACTGCTTCCAGTTTCGTAATCCACGCGAATATAAATACGTCGGAATTACTAGGATGTAATTACCCTGCCCGAAGTAATACTACAGCACACTGTCTGTTGATGAACAAGCTTATCAAGTTTAAAGCTACGCTAATGGGTTGCATCACAAAGTCTATTCCATGTACTATTTTGCATTAGGCGAACTCTCGTACTTGGCTGTTTGATTGACGGCATTGGCAGCGCAGAATTAAGAAAAAGATGCTGCAAAAATAGTTCCTATTTTTTCTTTTTTTTTCTTTTTTTTTTTCTTTTTGCAATTCCTTTTTTAGTTTTCAAGTGTTATAAGTGTTATTATATAACGTGACTTTATATTATGACCAATCACTTGTCTTTATATATATGTAACTGGGAAAGACGTACACGTAAGTGATAAACGGTGGAATGTTGTAAACACATCGGATTATATTTGATACATGAAGCTGGCAATCATACCTTGCTGCCTAGCTGCCTGACTGTATAATCCACAATCATGGTATTTATAGACATTGCAGTCATTTTAAAAATTTGGTCTTTTGTATTTCAATACCAATTTGTGTTATAGAATTCCCAGAAATGTGAATAAAATATGCTACTTTAATTCCATTGAGAGCAATAATTTAGAAAAAAGGTATTTTAAGAAAAAAAGGAAGAAAATGAATATCATAATATGCTTAGTGTTCTGATACATTTGTATCCTGGTTACGGCGGCGAATAGGAAGTCAGAGAGAAAAAAAGTCAAAAGTTAGAAAGCAATGATAGATAGTGTATATCCAAAAAGCGAGACAGAGCTGCGGAACCGCGCACACACACACATGTACATTAAAGGAAACCACGCTTCTCCTATCACGGGTCAGCACGTAGAATCATAAATTTCTGATGCACTGTTATGAAAGAGGCGGAAATACAGAACTTCAAAAGAAAAAAAAAATTGTTAAAGATTTTCCCCAAGGATATAAGGTATCCTAATAAAATGTATAATATCTGCCGATGAAACCTCATTAAAGAATATGTCAATTAGTATATTACATTACATGTGCCGGTTAATGTGTATGCTTCCAATTGTTGATTGCTGCGTAGAAGTGTAAAAAAAAAAACCTATGCACATTTAACAAGTCTTTGTGCTTCTCACACTTTCTCTATATTCGTCTCTCGATCCATTTTCCTCACAGCTCTGTGCAGAAGGACATACGATGCCCATGACAAAGGCCTAGCGTTGAGATTCCGGCACCGTTTATCTTCAGCAGTTTGGTCACGTCAACCTTTTTTTTTTGTATTCATACAGACGGATCCAGGGAATTTGGGGGGGGGGGGGGTCACAACGAACACACTTTCTTCTCTAGCTCCCTTAATATGCCTTTTGCAGCCAGGTATTGAGTTCTTTTGTTTTTTGGAGAGTTTGCTCTTCAGCATTTTTTTATTACTGGAGAGCAAGCTCTTCAGTAAGCAGAAGTGTACATCTTGTCATCTGGCTGCTAAAGGCCTATTACTTTAATTCCTTTAAGTGCGTTTTGCACGTACAATAAAATGATGGATATATATGCCAATATATATATGTGTGGCATTGCCGATGCTCAACTAATACCAAAGAACACACGGAGATGGGGTTACAAGGACAGGGTCCACTGTCTGCAACTGTTAAACACATAACCTACCTTTTCACAGTAATACGCCCGTAGAACAGCTACCCAGCTGCTATGTCACTGTAGCTCAGTGGTGACCTTCCGCAGTTACTCGTTTAAACGACGGCGCAGAATACCACTCACAATCCGCTAACAGAACTGTCATGCAACTTACGGCAATATAGAAACAGCACTGAAGGTGAACTGACTTCAGTGTACATGTAGCACCGATTAGTCTATGTCTCCCGATAAGGCGTGTTCAATAACAGAGCTGAACAGAAAAAAGTACTCCTCCACAGCGCACTGCAGATGAAGTGGCAACGAGTATGCTTACTCCAAAATGTGAAAATGCAAATGATATTTGTTCATTAAGTAAAGCAACCACCTTCTTTGTCGGTACGGTGTCAGTCTCTTAGTTCAAATAGATGCATGTGCGTTTGGCGACAATGGATATAAAATAGGACCGATATGACACCAGGCCGGTGACATCCATTAAAACGATCCGGACAGCGCTCCTATGGTTCGGAATTCCACCCAAGTCAAACACAAGTCCGATAATATTCCAACAGTGCATTAACTGGGTGGATTCGACGACAGCGAAAATATACGTGGCGCTTTCCGTTTAATGTAAATTACAGTTGCACTGTACAGTTTCTTATACCTACAGGGTTGCTTCCAAATTTAGCTTAGAAGTCAAAATAGCGCTGTGTCAGATCCCAGCTAAGGTCGACACACCGAGGCGCTCTAAGACACTCGATCGCTTATCCTTGAGGGTTTCTTCAACTTAAAAGCTATTTTGGCTATTTTGCCAAGGCAATGGGAATAATAGCCCCACGTGCGTTTTAGTTGTGGCCTATCCTTAAATATCACGACCTGCAGGACTTAGTGGTTAGGTCCCATCATTTAAGAACAGCATAACTTTCCTATTTGTATCGATCAGGTGCTTGATGACGCAATATGCTCAGTGACTGACGTATCGCTGTGGGGCAATTAAAGAAACACAAACGCAACTTACTGACGGAATTATTTTCCGTGACTATGTCTGTTCTGTTTTCTGCTACCTTTTATGAGTCCAGGGTATTTGTCCTTAAAATCAGTACCGACGACTCGTTGCTTAAGTTAGTCTGCCAGTGTCATCTCTCTCTCTCTCTCCATCTCTCTCTCCCCCCCTCTCTCTGACAAGTTAGAATAGAAAAAGATATATTACTTTAAGTGTGTTTCTCTTGTTGTCCCCCCATGAAGTCTAATAGGAAGAAAGTCCCGTTTCACTGACATTTTAAGCTACTCGACTGTTGTTTGATTCGTTTAGAAAAATGTCATGGTGCTAATTTGCGCCAAACCTAATCAAGTGATGGCGGTCGTTTGTTTTGATGTCAAAAGTAATGACGTAATCCGTCTGTCTTTTCAAATGCTGTTAAGGAAAAGTCTTAAATTTTGTATAATCCCACTGAATCATGTTTCAAATGCACATGGTCGTAGGATTGTTTTGAAGATATTAGATCAATATCCCTTTTTTGCATTTTTTAAAAAAGTAATCGTCCTGCAAATTATTCAATTAGTTAATGGATCAGTTATCGTTGGTATCTTAATGCCTTTGTATGTGTATGAATATTCACCACACAATAAAATAAATGATTACCATGAAACGTTAACCATGTAAATAAATCAAAAGCCAAGCCCATTCACACTGATTTCAAAACATTGTTTATATCTGTCGCCCATGTCAATATTCAAATAGGATGGGGAATTAATAGGAAAGAAGGGGGTCAGCAAACGCGTGTTTTTCTTCGATCCACTCCCCAATACCACCTACCTTTTAACCACACCTATATTATGTTGTATCCGAACCTGAATCCAGACATTTAATCTACAGACGAATCAAAACTGCGTGGAACAGCTAGGATACAGACCTGCTTTACCTTTTTAACCCAACCTTAACCACATGCACATAGAGATACACAATCGAACATCATTTAGTGTCCTTGATTCAATACATTGAGCTCAATTTTAAAACCGTTCTTTTACAAACATCAATCAACAAATTATTATTTCATGAGATATGTCGCTTAAAGAAATTAAAAAATATGTGGTCTCGTCCAGGTTTTGGTGTATGAAGTTATCATTTATTTATACCGTAACACAAGCACGTGTACGCTGATGCAAACGGAGCAGGTAGGGGGAAGTACGGGGATACTTTTCATGTCCGCAGTTGACTTAAAGACCTAGAGATGCGTGGGGTGATACATAGTGAAAGTGAAAGAAAGAAGGCGATATTAATCAAGTGTATCGGAAATTCCCAGACTGATTTCGTAAAAAAAAAAATAAATAAAAAAATAAGTCATGCTTTGGAAAAAGACATTCGTTTACAGGTAACACGAAATAATTGATTCCCTAAGGAAGAACCAATCAGGTGTTTTTGGCATATTATCTTTTAAAGGATAATAAACTCTTCGTTTTGGTCAAAAAATGAATCTTCCTGGAGTAAACAACAATTTTCCCATACTTACCAATGGTTAATGAATCCATTTTTACATTCAAAGTTAGTCCCTGTTTTTTTTCTAAAAAGTTTGTTTTTTGTTAAAATCTCTTAAGAGATTATAACTGAGTACAGCCATCAATGGAGGTCACGTGATCTGAAGACAAGCTCAGACATCAGAATAATAGCTTTAACTGGCGTTTTTGTGGTAAAACAGAATATATTATATTTCTATGAATTGTTCACGATGTTTTTATTGTGAAATATAGATATCATACGAAGAGTTATTATCCCTTTAAACGTTCATTTCAGAACTAATTATGACTGCATACACGATTATGTATGTTGATGCCCAGCAAGTGCGCCTAGCCATAGGGATTTTCTTTTGTGACGATGGTATTGACTAGTTGCTACGCTTGGTAGAAACCGCAGAACCTTTACGTCCTTTCCTTTTATTTATCCACTATGCTCTAGTTACCTCCTCTCTCTCTCTACCACATACGATCTCTTGAGGCGTTGTACTGTTTACCTTACAGGTTGCTGTTTAAGTATCGCACATTATTAGATCATGGCAATCAATTCTACAGAGCACTCCCAGCCCTTTACTCACTTCATGACTGTCAGTTACCCACATAACGCTGTGGATATATCGGCAGTGTCAACAGGCTCTCTTTTGGCCTTTGGGTTTCATTTCTGTCGCACATTGGCCAATCTAGAGACCAATTATGGCCACAGTTCTGTCATCTGCCGCCTGAAACACGCGACTCAGGTCACATGTCAGGCCCAGCAATTTCAAAAGGGGGGTTCTTTTTTCTGAAAAAGTGGACCTTTTCCCATAAATACTTCATATACCTAGATCAAATTTTACCCAGAGTGGACCTTTTCCCAGCAAATGGGGCGGTTCTTCGAACCCCCCGAGCCCCCCTGGCTACGGGCCTGCATGTAATATGGAAACCACCAAAGCCGAGCACAACACCAAATTATATAGCGGTCCATTGGCACCAATGTGATGCACTTCTCTTATTTCTCAAAGGATGAGTTACTCTTATTTCTCAAAGGATGAGTTAGTTTGCTTCCCCGATTATGTACATGTTGTAGTGATGGAGCAAGGGATGGTATATTAAAGAGCGCGTCCATTTTTCTGCCAGTTTTGAAATGATGGCTATTTTCATTTAGGATTAAAAAATAAAAAGAAAAAAAACGGACAGCAAAAACATGTAAGCAGTCTCCAAAAGAAAGCATGCTATATGTGTCATCATAAACAACACATATATATCTGAATTGGCATAGGACAAGGACGTAGCATTCATTTGCGTCCACGGAATGCCCCATATGGTAAATGCATATGACGTACAAATGTATATCGACAAAATTAATGTCTTAATAACGCACGCATTTGTGTCTTTCGGCAGCACGATTTTTCTATTAATAGAGCATGCGCTAAGATATTATGACTCGACAAAATACCCACTAAGTCACGTTCTGCGTGTCGTCAGCAATTCATGATCAAGCATTATATTTTGACAAAAATAACGAAATTCCTGACTGCGGCACGACTGTATCCATTAATAATGATTCACATTTTGCTAATAACAGAGATCCATTGACAACAAGCAATGTTACCAAACCCCCAAGACCCGAGGCATATCTTGAGTAATTTCATGCCGGTGACACAGCTATGAACTCGGAGCTGGGTTTGACGTTAGGATGTTACGCATTACAGTCACACTAATGCTGTTTGAATTGCCACTCTATCATTTTTCCATGGCGCTTCATTACCACGTAACGGCTATGTGAATGTGTACGAATGTGAATTCATTTTATGGAATGATTTAATTGAACATTAGGCCATCAATTTAGATTCTCTCCGCAATTGTAATCTGTTACGATATCAATAAACAGATTAATAAAAAATAACAGTGATAGTTCATCAAAATGGCCATACCTACATTTCAAAATTTTATCAATCATCTAAGTATATGGTATAATAGAAATGGCGCCATTTTCGATCCTTAATCGGGGAGGATGCAAGGCATTTCAAATTGTCCAGGCCACAGTTAAAAAAAAACTTAACAGTTCCCTGACTTAGTTGACTAAGATTTCCATGAGAGTGCTGTAACACTGTTCCTGATAGGGTAAGATGTGCGCATGTGACCAAGTAACCTTGGTAATTAAGTTTTTAGCCTGGGAACCTAGGTCACCGTGATCTGGAACTGAACCATGTGCACCATCATCCATCAACGCAAAGGTCAATAGCTGACAAAACAGTTAATTGATATACCATGTCTCCATTGGCCCATCTAATACAGTGATTGGACGTTTTTACGGCATTCACAAAAGCCACAATTCAAGCTTAGAAGCAGGGTGCTGCGATTATATAGTCAGTGGATTACAGCAACTATTTTCGGGCCCATCGGTAGATCATGAATACAAGAATACGCTGTACGTCTCCCATATGTTCAGACCACCCCTCTAAATATAAGGTTCACCAATAACGTACGCTTCATTACAAACATGTTTTTGGAAAACACGTATGTATAAACTACAATGTGCATTTTTATCGGAAAGTAGATGAAATGTCACTTTTCATCGCACTGTTCCGGAAAAATAGCAACTTTTTATCCCAGAACAAAAGTTGTTCAGATCAAAACTGGCAGGGTTTAAAGTGCATTGGAACTCTGCACGTCGAAGTGAAATGTGACTGTCAAGTATGACATATCCAAGAGTTTAAAATTGAAAACAAAAATACAAAAACTCCAATATAAATGCTTCATCATCAAAGCGAATTGTAGACGGAGGTAAAAACTTTATTTATGAGACTTAAGCAATTAAACGTGCACGAGGCCACGTGCGTGCTTGTAATAGCTAGGTTTCCAGATTGAATTTACCTTCAATCACCCTTATTAAGATAGAAGAATCACTTAAATAGTCATCAAAGTGGCTTGGACGATTTAGCTAATCCTCGGGTGAAATCGTTGAATTAATGAAATCAGTAACTGGACGTTTTATATCTAAACCGTCGTTTGTCATTATTATCCGAATTTCACGAACTCGATCGTCATTGATTTACAGTAGAGGAAAAAGTGCTGCAGGTTGGAGATTTTATCTAAGATTAAAGGACTTTGCTTTTTATTCCTGTTGCATACATTAAATGTATCTTCAAATCTTGAAACACAGCTCGAAGTTCATCGTGTGGCGAAATATTGGTATTTTTGGGCAAAAACATAATTTTCGGTTTCCTGGTTTTCTCAGACACCTGGACAGCTATAAACATGCTTATAATGGTATTATTACACTTGAACAAAGTACTACAAAAAGGGCTCGGGGATTTTTCTTTAAAGACTTACTGTTGATTTAATCTATAAAAAAGTGATTTTTAGCCCTATTTGGGTACAGCCCCCACCCTTAAA